CAAACTCTCATAAAGTGGACAGTATGTAAGAGAACGGTTGGACACTAGTCTAGGGTCATTACAGTAGGAGTTATTTTTTGAGCTGCAAATTATTAGAAACTTTTATCAGAAGAGACCTAAAAGGCAAGTGAAGTGTTAGACTCTGTAAAATTGATGGACTATTATTTTTCAAATGTGTGAATTGCTTATAGAATATTAAGGTCCGTTTGATTGGTTTAAATTTCATGAAAAATGTCACATTCGAGAAATTCAATTTTTATTTTGACTGTTTGACACGAAAGTTAAAATGAAGTTCAAATTCTAAGGTACAATCACTTTAAGCTTATTTTTTGCCAATTTCATAGAAAGTGCATTCTTATGGGATACTTGAATTTTTATTTTTCATCGTACATAGAATTTGAAAACATTTTGACCTTTGCTCAAGGACAAGGGAGAACAAATTGGCACGTGTAAGAAGAATAAGAGGTGATATTGTGCCACGTGGAGGTGAATAATTTGGCATGGGAACCAACCCGCATGTGATTATTGCCAATGGGCAATGGCTTCTCATTATAGAACTCTATTTTCTCAGCTGTTTTACACTCTCACGCGCCTCTAAGCGTTTGAAAAATATCTCCATGAAAAAAATTGGGAACCAATTCGAACAATTAATCACGTCCATTTTTAAAAAAATATATTATCAATTTGATCTTTTAATTTTGACCGTTTACTTTTTCCTCATCTATGCTGAATAAATATGTCAATATACACTGTGAAGTTGGTTGCTGGCATTTTTGAAAGCCTAAGCATTTGGCTCCCTATGGTTTTCAGATCAATTCACTCTCTTCATTTTCTTCGTGTATCCTGCTCTCTAGTTTTATTTTGGTCATCATCTGGAAGATTTTAGCGATTTCTATGTAAGATATTGCATCGTGTAAGAGAGAGTAAAACCATTATTTTCTTTGTAAGTAGAGAGATTGATAAATTAAGGTTTGAGAACATTGGTGTTCGTACTGTAATCGAACATTTGCCTTTTTTGCGGGCTTTATATTAGATTCGAGCTTAATCCTAACGGCTATTCAACGGGGGATTAGGCGTCAAAAGTGATAGCTGAATCGTGCGCTGAACGTTATTCTAAAATACTTTATAAGTGTGATGAAAATAATATTTGACCCTCAATTTACCATGTTAATCTAAATATGAGATAAATGCAAGCATTTGAAAATAAATGTTAATTATTATGCATGCACGTAAATAGTGAAATGCATACTTGAATGTTAGTATTAGAATTATAACTAAATGTATAAATAAAGATGAATAACAAATACGATACATAAATTAACGTGGATGTTAACTAATTTAGAATTAATACCAATAAATATATACGTGACAGTAAATGTTAAATCATTTATATTAAATGAATATAATTTAATTTCCAATTAAGACTGCATTTGGGTGCCATTTTTTGCTCATGAATAGAAGAAATATAATCGGTGTAAATCACAAAAGTTAAAAAAAAGGGGGGGGGGGGGGAGGGTGGGGGGCTAAGTGAGGCACATAAACGGTAACATTTCTTCTAAAAATGAGGTGGAAAATGGCAGACAAATAGGCCCCAAGTAAAACTGAATACTAATTAGCATACATGTGTGAATAATGAACTGCATTATTGAATGTGAAATTCTAATTAATATTTAATTAAATAGCTGTGAATGTCAATTAATTAAAAATTAATAAAAAGGACATGGACGTGAATGTGAATGTGAATATGAATGTGAAATTCTAATTAATATTAATTAAATGAATGTAAATGTTAATTAATTGAGAATTAATTATAGTATTTATTATAGTTTGTAAATTAAATAATATTGAAAAACGAAAAGTAAGATATTATTGAAATAATTAAATTGTAGTAGGGCTATAATTGTCCAAAAAATGATTCTCACTTGATGGGATATTTAATATATTATAGATTAAACATTAAAGTTTTCGAACAAGTACTTAGAGTATCTTTAAGAAATTCTTTATTTATAAAGAGCATGTTATGCATTATAGTGAGTATCTTTATCTTTAAACTTAAAAAGAGCCAAATTTTTTATGCATTCAACAAACTCTCAATTTTGACTCTTTATTTTGCTTTTTAAAAGAAATTTTTTAAAAGAGTCATATTTTATTTAATATAATTTTTATATGGTAATTAACCAATCAATATAAAATGTGGTTTGAATAGTTTAAGAGGTACAACGTTGAAATATGTGAATTATATATGCAGTCATTGTACATTAAGAATATAGAGAGTTTGATTCTCTAATTTTGAAGAGACAAACTCACTTTATTTTTAAAGAGTAATGCTATTCATATTGAAAACTATCGGTACGTGACATACACACGTCGCTTTATTATTTGATGCGCGAGACAATAAAAAACTAACACATTAATGTATCAAATAATAAAATGACACATGTACGTATGACAACTACCAATAATTTTTGCTATAAATAGTATTATTTATTTTTAAAAGTTAAAAGAAAGTCTATTGGAGTTCATTTTTAAGAACTCTCTCTCTCAAAAAAAAGATTATTTTGTATGTAGAGAGTCTTTGAAGATACTACTATCCCTTTTACACATGTTCTTAGCATTTAGAATTGATTTTTTCAATGTCATAATTCTAGCTATTTTAAATAATTGTAATATAATTTAACATTTGTTTGACAACAAGTATTCTAAAACTCTTTTTTCCACATACTCATTTTCAGTCACTCATTCACACAATAAAATATTTTGCACGTAAATTCAATTGTTTTTGTTTTACTTTTTAACCCCACACTCTTCTAAAAATCACTATTTAAAAAATATATATTTTTAAAATAATAATTGTCAAACAGGAGCTCACATGCAAGAAGTTATTCTTTCACGCGTAAAATAAATTCTTACTTTGCGAAGCTATTCTTTCACTTTTTATATTTTCATTATAAATTGTAAGTAAATGAGCAAATAAATATTTTTTATAGGCACTTTCAATTAATAGTTATCCTTTTAAAAAAACAAAAAATAAAAATCATCATGTAAGAGATTCCCTTAAACGGAGACCAATCCGCGCGTGGGTCAGGGGTCCATGTATGTAGGTACTGTAAGTAGAATATACACACACACACTCTCTCTCTCTCTCTCTCTCTCTCTCTCTAACGTTAATATGCCGTTTCTCTCCTCATTTGTACACCTAGTTCTTCTGTTTCCATTTTGCGTCTTGTTCTGTAACATCAAAATAAACCTCTCCCATTCACAGAAATATAAGGACACTGCAGTATGAATGAAGCAAGCCTATGTATATGCATGTAATTGAAGAGAAAAGAGAGTTTGAGGAACTGATTTCAATGTGTTTTTTTTTATATATAAATTCTGCTAAGAAGAAAAACTGAGATCTTCCTAGAAATGTTCTTCATTTTGTGGCAAGCAAGGTACATAATTGTTAAATTTAAAATATAATTGAATGTGAAAATTTAGCTCAACTTAATTTTCTTACAATATGCTTGAATTTTGATTTTTGTTTTTTTTGGGTTTGAAATGACGTTTTAGGCTTTGGGAATTTTTAGATGATGTTTCGATTTGGTTGTTTGAAAGATTTCTCTTTTCTTTCGGCTTTTGGTCAAAATCAACGCTTTAGCCTTTTTGTTTTTCCGTAGACGGGCTTTGATTAATGAATCAGATTTTCTTTTTCCTTTCTTGTGGGTTAGGGTTTTTGGTACTAAGATGTTGGTTTACTAATGGTGAATTTTAGCTAGGGTTTTTGGAACTAATCAGATTGCTGAGGTGCGGATTTTGCATTGGAATTAGGGGTTTGATTGAGGATTCAATTAGACATATCGAGTTTTTCAGTGGCCTTTCCTGAGAGGACTTAATTATGCTGATCAAGAAATTAGTGTGAGTTGGTTTGATCATACAAGGGAGTGAGTTCTCAAACCTGCTATAAATTCCGGCGTTCTGATTGCCTGGGAAGTTGTTCATTTTTGAAGGGCGTGGAACAGGACTGTTCATTTAAGTAAATTTGTTTAAGATGGGGATTGATTTTGGGGTAAATCTTGTTGACAAGGGCGAGGAGGTAAAAGGTAATGAAAATTAGATGCCACTGGCTTACTAGGCAAGCCAGAAGATCATCTATTAGTGAACAGTTTTCCTTTCTCAATAAACCAATTGGACTGACCTGGTCTTTACGTAGAAGTTTAGCTGCAAAATCTTTAAATTCAGCATTTATATTTGGAGTTTGCTTAAAAACAATGTTGATGTAGTTTCCATTTATATCACACTTTCATTTGGCATTGAGTATACATGAGTTTTTTTTTTTAACCTACACTCGCGTTTTAGAGCTAAGAGAAGTTTAAGTTGGAAGGGAGCTGTTGGATTTATAACTAAGTGTAAGTGATCAGAAGTGGGTTTGGGTGTTTGTACAAGTGTAGAAACGAGTTAGATGAATCAATAGTGAATCCGCGATCAATGTGGGGTCATGTTGTGTGGACAGGAATATAATCAATGCTCTGTTCCTATATTGGAAAACTGTTATGTGGAAATAAGACAAGCATATTTTCTTACTGGCTCTAATCATTTTGCATCTACTAGGACACTGTGCAATGTCTCGCTGCTTCCCATTTCCACCACCAGGATATGACAGAAAGCAAAGACCAGAAGACTTAGAGATACTGAAAGAGGTTTTTCATTTTATCCCTTTTTGCTGATATGTTGTTTTCACTCTATGAATTCCATGTAGTTTTCACAATTCCTATTATGTTTTGATTTGATGTGTAGATGGATTCCTAAAGTTTAATCTGTTAATCTCCTCTTTCTATTGTAAGTTGTGCCGAATTTGATTTTTCCATCCCCACAGGATAGCTGTTCAAGTTTATTAATAACTATATTTAATGTTGTATTGCAAGTACCTGATACTTACCTCTTTTAGGAAATCATTATTCATTCTTGATTAAAAGTACCAGCGCGTCGGTTAATTTTGAATTTGTTAAGTTTGTTTTTCTGGAAACTATCAGTTCTCCTGCTTTGATCTACTTGCCTAGTTAAACAGATGTCCACGAATGTCCTAAGATACTTTTGATGATGACACGTAACACTTCATTTACTAGTAAATCTGAAATGACGCTGTCAATGGACTTAAGCATTTACAGAAGTTTGGTTTGCTATTCGTATGTTTATGCATCACTATCAGGAGCTTTATAATTCTCTTTATTTTTTCTCCTCAATAATACCTGGTTGGAAAGGCAGTAAATTACAATAGAATGAATGCTTCAACCTGTATGTTAAGTTTTAGCACGTTCTCAGGTTGCTGTAACGTGGTAATGTTTATGTTCAAGTCCATCAATGCTTGCCTGAATGTTAAGCAGTTGAGCTGATGTAAACCCATTCTAAAGAGTTTACCCGAGGTTTTGTTGAGATAAAGAATTGTTAGAGGTCTTCCTTTATTTACATCTTGTTTGGCTTGATTGTGTGTTTATGGAAAGGAAACAATGCTGGGGATAGAAGGTAGGGTTCTGTGAGGATTGAGGATACAGCAAAAAAATTGAGGATTTAAGTGATGCTTCTGGAAACTTGTGCTATGTTTCCAAAACATTTGGGGGTATTGTGGCATAATGACCATACGGAGTCATGGTTGGACTAGGTGAATTGAGTAATGATCAAGTAACTTAACTGTATGCAAAAGGCTTTAAATTAGAGTACATATCGGAGGAAAATGAAATAGACGCAGGGTCACTCCTGAATCCAATTGGAACCACACTTCTGGGAAATGATTACTCATGAATTATACACTTGTATTTGTTGATGAAATTTCCGTTGCATCGAATTTTATGGACTACAATGAATTCTAAACCTAGCAGGATAAGAATTTCCAGTTTGAAATCCAACTAAATTGACTGAGTGACAATTCTAAACCACTAAGAAATAACCAAAGAAATAGATCTAAGGACCTTTGGGTCAATAGTATGATGCTTTTAAGCAGATATCAGCAATCCGAGATATCCTTGAGGTTAAAAGACTAATAAACAGAATTGAACTTAGAACAAGAAGAAAACTTTTAGATGACATTGAAACTCAAAACAATAATGTTATTCCCAGCTAGATTCAACGTTGCTATGAAGCTTCCCAATGAATTGGCTAGGTTCCAATTCTAGAACATTTAAAATAACTTCAAATAAGAAGTCCCAAAGTATATGACCTTTAGCTAATTATGACACTTTCAAGCAAAATATTGTAAATGGTCTCAAACACTCTTGAGCCCAATGAATTGAGAGACAAGCTGAAACTAGGAAAGCATATAATTCTTAGAAAACACTGGGACTCAAAAGATGGTCTTGCGAATTACCAGCTCGATCTATTATTGCATTAAAGCATTATACTGAAGCTTCTTGCGGCAGCACTCTGCTGTGTATATTTGGAGGGAGAAGTCACTTTCTAGCAGTAGCACCCAGATTTCTGGTTGACATGTATGCACTGGTAAATGTGATTCGATCAGTAGGATGATGTGGAGATTTAAATCATGCTTCTGCAATATTGAGAACACTGTTGGTATTTCCATTTCATTATGTTTTACTACGTTATTAACTACGGTAAATTGCTTTACATATAATCAAACTTGGAGAAAATCAAGTTTGGTCCCAGCATCTATTTTTCCTTCTTTTTTTCATATTGCTTTAAACAATTCCTTCAATATTGCTTTTACACATGAGTTCTATACAATATATCTAACATTTGAATAATCCATTTGGGAAGTTGGACTTTCATGCGTTGGAAATTGCAGATACTGTGGGTAGCTTGGAAATTATCTGCTGAATGCTATGAATTATAATGTGAGAAATATAAGGGAGGGGTAAAGCTTATGACATTGTGATATATCACTTGTCTGTTTCCTATTTAAAATTATGTAGAAAAAATGAAACAATTCGATGTAAAAACATCTAGCAGGGATAATCTAAATTTCTGAAGTTTGTGTATGTGCATTAATTGCATATTCTTGCATAGCTTCAAACTTCTGCATATTTTCCTAGAGCTGCATTTCTCTTTTTCTTGTTCTAGAATGGACTTTTATGGTCAGTTTTCATTTTTGATAATTAGCTAATTGTGGGTTCTAGTTAATCTAAATTTGAATATAAAAGCACATCTGTTTATTTACCTTGATGTGCCTCCACTTGCGTGGTCAATTTTCTATGTCGATATCATATTTATGCAGGGAGGGAAAGTTTGACCTGCTTAAAAACATAGGAGACAAAATTCTCTTGACTGATGTAATTTTATACTTAGCCTCCGTTTTTGGGTTTCATTTATTTTGCTAAATTTCTACTTTTCAAGAAATGAGTGGTTGATAAGTGGGTAGTATTTGTGGGTCTTACAACATTTGTGGTTAAAATTAATGTTTAACTTTGAAAAGTAGAATTTTAGGAGAAGATAATGAAACCGAATGGAGACTTAACATGCATCTTGTCTACAGTATTCTAAGCTCTTCACAGTTGTGAATGCTTAGGAATTACTAGTACATTTTATTTTAGTATCACGATAAAACTTTTACTGATGTATTCCAAGACTAGTTTTTTATCACTTCAATCGAAAATGGAAAAAATGTGACAGCCTTGTAGGTTTGGATATTGAATAACAAGCATTGTAATGGAATGCTTAAATTTTTCTCTATCCTCTTCCCAAGTTAAACCGATAGATTTCTCAAGTAAATAGGATCACTTTCCTATCTGATCATAACTACATATTAATTGGTCCCTTCTAGTAATTCTGCTTGGCCACGTCATGTATCTCACCAATTCTTTAATGTCAAAATTTAAGATAAATTACTATGTTTGATTTTTTTGTATTATTGTCTTTTCATTTGACGTTCCAGTTTACCTTTTCTCCTTATATTTCTGGATGTTATGATGTGTCTTTCCTTGCATATATGATTCATAAGGGATGGAAAGTATTCCAAAGTTTTCATTGATTATAATTGGCTCCCTCTTTCTGGGAGTACCCTGTGACTTGGAAATAGTCTGACTAGTACTCTACCTACTGGACCGACGACACGCATCTTTGTACTATTGGTTTATTTATATGATCATGTACCTTTTGTCTTGTACGTAGCGTAGTTCGTAAAATTGGTTGAAACTTGTGAATAGTGAAGCAAATGTTGGCATAAGAATCAATGATTGTTGAAGAAGGTTGAAGGTTGTAGCATGCCTTTTCAATTCATAAGCTTGTTTGATTTGAAAGTGTTTTATTTTTTTAGCACAGTTCTCTAGAGAGGTTCTCGTTGAGGATATATATTCAAATTACTTATTCTATCTTATTATACATCAATCAATGAAGAATGGAAAAAGTGTTGTTGCAGCAATTGTTGCCTTTTCTATTATTATATATGATTTTTTTTTTCTTTTTCTTAATGGTTGGGTGTTTCATCGAAACTTTCTTTTCCATATTCTTTTTTAATTAGGACTTTGTTTTGTGAAATTTATAGTTCAGATGGCAAGTTTCCTCATTACAGAGATTTTCAGTTGGATTTTAATCTGTAGATTTTCTAATATGAGTAATATATATGGAATTTTTATGATCTGTGATTACATTCACTGTGAAATTTAAGCAGTATAGTCCAAGTTTGAATCTGTGATTATTTTAGTACAAAGGGATTTATCCTCAACTGTGATTTTTGTGCGTTTGTCTTCTGTTGTCAAATGATATTTCGCCTGTGGTATTTTATTAGTAAATTGTAATTTGCAATTTTGAGAAGACTACGCTAACCATACTCGTGTTTTCAGGAGAAGCGCAAAGAGAAAAAACACAAAAAGGAAAAGAAGGACAGAGAAAGAAAAGAAGGTAAAGAGAAAAAGGAGAAAGACAGAAGTGATGATAAACCCAGAGTAAAGAAAGATCGAAAAGGAAAACACAAGGACAAGAACGACAAGGAGAAGGGCAGGGGCAAAGAGAAAAGCAGCATATCAGAGGAGGCAACAGTTGGTGGGAAACTTGAGGTAAACAATGGAGAGAAATTTCCTACAAAAGGAGGGCATAACAAAGACACGAACATTTTTGTGGATGAAACAAAACAGGCTACCCAGTTTCAGGGTCAAAATGGGGGGAAATATTTTCATAACAGTTTGCACTCCCGGGGAATTGAGGAATCAAAGTGTTTGCAGGAGTTGGACAGGAGAATTAGAAATGACGAGAAGGCTTCAGGAAGCCAGTTGCTTGATAGAGTTTCTGGTGCTGACAAAAGGGATCAAGATACAGCCGTCAGTGTTGCTTTCAGAGATTCTTCAGGTGTATTGGCAGAAGACAATGGAAAGCTCAAAGATAAGAGAGTTGATAATAGACAAATGGGTGTACAAGGATTTAGCAATGAGTTTAGTGGAAATGCAATGGGCCAGAATGTTGCTGGCATTGCCAAGAGAAAAGTTGAAGAGATGCCCAGACCGGCTGAGGAACAAAATAATAAGATCTTGCCAAGTAAAGAGAAATCTAAGGAAAAAGGTGACAATAATGGGGATGACAAACCGAAGGATAGAGGTAGAGATAAAAAAAGACATAAAATTGACAAAGAAAAGGAAAGGGAGAAGAAAAAGGAGAAAACTAAGGGCAAAAGTCAAACTGAGGAAACCTCGCAGGTCAGATCCAAAGATGTTGGCAGGAATGAGGTTGGCGGTGATACCAGTTATAAAAGGACACATATGTTGGAGGGCATCGACAGTTCTGCTGTTAGTGAGGGAAATTCGAGGAAAAGGAAAGACTTGGATTCCAACGGTTTTCTTCATGGTAAGTCTTCTTGTTCAGTCGAATACTAGGATTAAATTCACACTATTTCTCCAAAATATTTGAATTCAAGTTATTACAGAATAGAGACTTGCAAGAAAACTTTGTCAGGCCACTGCCTAACATACCATATGCTTTCCTCTTGTTGCCTCAGTGATCTAGTACTTTGATGCTGAATAATATTATACAAGGTTGTTCAACTCTGATTCTGAATTAACCTTTGTTTAGGCTGATTATTGTTGCTTATTTCACAGATAGTGAAGTCAGGCATAATAAATTGCAGAGGCTCACTTCTCATCAATTGACAGAGAATGGAAGGAAAATCGAATCAGCCCGAGTTCACTGTATATCTGCCTTGGATAAGCAGGGGTTTCCAATAAATTTTTCATTGGATAACAAGGACTCAAAGGTGAATGGTATAATTGAAGGCCAGAAACTGTCAACTAAACCTAAGCCTTCTGCTGTAAGTATGTTTAGTGATCAAATTATCTTAGCGTCAAAGAAATCTCCCCTTCCTGATTCCAAGCATATTAATGGAGTACCGAACGAATCCATGATGGAGGATCAAACTGCTAAAGCATCAAATAGACCTCCTCATCCAGATACCAAGTATCTGAGTGAGATACTATCGGTGCCCAAGATGGAGTGGCCCAATGTTGATGACCAGGAATGGTTGTTTACCCAGAAAGAGCCTTCATCAAATAGCAAGGTGAGCTCGGCTGCGGTCAATGAAGAGCTGCATGTATGGTCTGAAGCTGTGCATATAGAATCAGCTGATATTTATGCCCTGCCATATGTTGTTCCCTACTGATTGTCTTTATTCAGTGCTATCTGATGCACGAAGCCTTTCCGAAAATCAAGGCTTTGTTGATTGTGTTGCAGTACCTGGCTCTTCAGATGAACCTGGTGTACTGGCTTGGGTTCTCGGCTTATCACACTCTTTTGGTGCTGTGTTAGCAGGGTGGCATTTTCCCATGCTTCGGAAATAGTCTAGATCCCTCAGAATCCATGGTCCAGGTCTAGGAATGCGAAGAAGTAATCATCTCAAACCCAACTGTTTTTCATATCAGCAACTTTTATGAGGTGTACTTGATAAGATTGATGAGTATTGTGTAGGGCAACACATAAGCTTCTCCAGTTTGTCGTGTTAAGCTGATGTATTCTCCTTTCTAATTGAGTGTAGGAGTAGCTCGAATTTCGCTTCACCACAATTTTGATTTGTAACATAGAACTCCTATTTATGTGAAATGTGAGGAGGAAAAAGAAGGGGTATTTCGATTCACTTCAGTAGTAATTGTTGTTTATAATACCATTCAGCTTTATGATATGCTTATGTGCTCTGGTTCTTCTGAGAATATGTTATTATTACTTGTGATAATTGATGCAGTCCCATAATTTTGTAGAGAAGGGTGGTAAATATTAGGGAAAATTACATGGGGACATTTGTGCAATGGCCTTTCGTGATTTTGTAACTTATGAGAGCCGCACTAGGTGTACCGGCGGTGGGTGACAAACACCCTGACCGGCCCCTCACATTAGGGGGGGGCCCACATTTTTTTTTTCAATTTTTTTTTTCATGTGGGGCCAGCCATCATGTGAGAGTTCGTCAACTTTTTTGTCAAATTTTTTTTGTACAAGTAGGTTTTTTCAACTTATAAATGGACAGTACATAGTTTTTCGTAAGTGATAGATTTGAACTTGTGTACGTTCATTTTTTATTATTTATTTATTTATTTATTTGAGATAATGTCTATCCATCTCGTCTGGAAGCTTAACTTGTTATGGGGACAGCACAATTATTTACTTTATCATGTTGAGTTAAATTGTTTAAAAGTTCAAGTGATCATAAGGTCTTATTTATGAATTGATACCAGTGTTCTAAAAAGCGTAAAACGTGGCTAGGCGTGGAGGTTAAACTTAAGGCTTTACGAGCCCAGGCGAAGTTTAGGCGTAAAAAAGTATTTTTAATTTTTAATCATTGTAAAAAAATTCAATAATTCAAATAATATATACCAAACATCTAAAATTATAAAATATTGTATTTACTTAATAATTCCTACATAAAGATAAGTTTCAAAATCATAATTGCATAACGTAGATCTTGTAGCTTAAATATTATCTAATTTAACTCTTTATTGGACTCCAATTCAATATTTTCTTCTTCGTCTGATTTGTCCTTCGTATCGTCCAATACAAAATCATCATTCTTGGACTCTCTTATTTCATTTTGATAATTTCTTATACATACTTGATACCCAAATCACTGCAGTGTGCAGAGAAATTGAAAGGTTTTGCACCGTTCTTCCGGCTTATTTTTCTCAGTTCTTCCGTTTTCTCAGTTCTCTGGAGTCTGGAGTTTTTAAAATTTGAAGAGATAGTGGGCTACTGAGTCTGGACTGTGGGTTTTATTTAAAAAAACAAAAAAAGAAAAAATTGAGCCCTATTAAAATCTAGGCTTGAGGCGGAGGCGCGCCTAGGAACGCCTAGGCGAGCATTAAGCGGTCAACGACAATGTTGACCCTAGGCGGTCAACGACAATGTTGACCGCTTAATTCCTACCTAGGCTCAAGCCGAAAGTGCGCCTAGGCGTCGCCTAGGAACGTCTAGACGAGCATTAAGCGGTCAACATTGTCGTTGACAGCTTAATTCCCGCTTAGGCTCAAGACGAAGCGTTTTCATCACGCTTCCTGTCTAGGCGTGTTTTTTAGAACACTGATTGATACCATTTGTTAGGTTAGCGTTTGAAAAATATGGTATAGACAAAACAGATATTGAACAAAGTTCGACATTGAGGTCATCGTGAATGAAAAATAATTTTCACTAATTTGTTAGGCACCGTATATTGCTTCCATTTTAGTTTGTGATAAGATCAATGATAATCTCTTACTTAATCCTGATAGAGAGACTTTTGTCAACATTTTTATAAACTTACAAGATATTTGATGGGAACTACATTGAATAATATAAGATAGTACTAAAAGGAAAAGATTATTGTGTCTTGTCTAATGTCACATACTACATATGCATTTATACATTATTCAAGTTTTTAGATTTGAGGAATTTATACATTTTTCATGTTACATATCTTCTTTTAATTATTAGTGATATTCTTTTTCATTTTATAGATGTAGATCAAGTGTCAAACTATGGTTAAACGTCCTAATCATCATTGAACTTTCTTAAATGTTTTTCAATTTTTATTGGACTTTAAGAGTGTGTTTGTGACACATTCTTTTGAAAGAATGTATTATTGAATAGTAGATTGATGGAGAATGTGTGGTTAAAAATGAAGGAAAAGTTATTGATGTGATGGAAAATATTATTTTATTGAAGAATGTGTGGTTGAAAATGAGTAGAAGAACATTCTCTATCAATTTACTATTTCAAAATACATTTTTCCAAAATGATGTGGCTCAGACATACCCTTAATCAAACATTTTTCAATGAAATGTATGGTTGAAAATGAGTAGAAGAATGAGAATGAAAAAAATAATATGTACTAAACACGGCCTAAAAGTACTTTGAGTTGTCATTAAACTTACTAAAATATTATCATATCCGTCACTCATTGTGTCATCTAGTCTGTTAACATTTTAAATGGTGAGTATCGGATGACATAGTATTCTAGTAAGTTCAGTGACAGTTTGGAGAACTTTTACAGTACAATGACAATAGGGAAACATTTGAAAAAGTGACAACCCAGAAAGCTTTAAATTTTTATTGGAATTGATAAACATTTGGATAAGTTCAGTGGCAGTCGAAATATTTAACTCGTCAAACTATACTAATTCTACTTCTTCACTGTCCCTTATTATTTGTTTAGGGGAGATTATGTTCACACCACAATTTTTATTAGTTTGCACCATATTTTAATTTCACATGAAATCTTTAATCTTTGCTCATTGTATCATTTATTTTCATAACTTCTTTCTACTCATTGTTTTTTCAAGCTTTCATTAATTAGCACGTCTCGTCTCTAACAAGAGTTTCCATCCAAAAAGTCCATTGCGAGAGTACAAAATGATTTATTTGCTCGTCATATTTAAAAACAAATAAATATAGAAGTGTGACAGAGTATTTTTCCCCATATTTCAAAATAATCAAACAAAATAATTTAATAAAAATCATCTTCAATGATAAGATATGTTAATTGATACAAGATTACAATTCTATTTGTAAAGAAGTTAAGAACATAATTGTTACACTGAGCAAAAATTGAGAATCTCAAATGTAATTAAAACATGATGCAACAAATAAAAATTGTAGTGTTAATATTTAGCCCTTGTCCGAGAGAGACTTTTTTCCATTCTTAACGAAGGTTATTAGCACAAAAGTCCCTATGTATGGAGTTCATTGTGCAAAACATCCCTAAATTGTAATTTTTTTTTTTTTTTTGGCATTTTCACTCATATTTCAATATTTTATTGCGGAAATCATAATAATCTTTATTAATTTTTATCCAATTTCTCAATAAAAAGTTGTCAAATGATTAATACACTCTCTTATTTAAATAAAACAAAAATAAAGAACTAATTGCAATCATACTCCTAATTTTTTTTTTTTTTAAAACGAGTCTTAAATAAATTATTAAAGAATTAAAAAAAAAATTCTCTTTGCTTTCTCCTCCTTCCTTCTCCCCCACCACGACCAAGTACAGTAAACAAAAAAAATTCGGTAGAACAATTTCTTGTCAATTTCCCCAAATCTCCTACAAACAAACCGGTAAAATAAATAAAACCTATATTCAATTTTCACAAGAAATACATTAATATCAATGGGCGTCTATCACATGGGTTTTTGATGATTCTGAATCCATTGGAGGGGTTGATGTGGCGTGGGTCGTAGCAGAAAGTAGAGAATTGTGGCAGTTTGAAGGTATGTCCGTTTTGGGGCTGATTTTGACTGTAAAATTGGATCAATTGAGGGATGAAATGGTTCAATTGATTGCACCCCCAGGACCGTATAATAGTGTTGAACGTTGGATGGAAAAACAGCATAGGGCTTGTCAATTGATATAAGTGTGGCTACCTCGTAATGTGATGAGTGTAATTCACTCAATGAATTAGCACCTTTAAAGCTTAATCTTCAGTTTGTTCTTGAGCACTTTTGAGCGTTTTGATTTATTTGTTCGTGTTGTTTTATAGTTTAGGTAATTTGATGATAACAATGTGTTTTGAAGCATGGAATGGAGCTAAATTGTTGATCATGGAAGTGGGCATGGAGTGAAGATAGAAGAATAGAAGAAGTGTAATAAAAGCAAGAAAACGAGGCCAGAAGTGAATGACAGTATAGTGGGCACCACGACGCCACACTTGGGCGCCAAGGAATCCAAAGAAACCAGGAGAGAACTGAGCGCCAAGTCTCGAGCTCTTGGGCGCTGCAACGCCTAACAAGAAGACAGTAAGAAGCGGAACAGGCGTCGGCAAGATTTTCATTGTAGCGCCACCACTTGAATTTAAGAAATCTCAGGATTTTGGAAGGTTTTCGGCCCGGTCCATCCCTAACTTGTCTTGAAACTTCAATACACTATAAATATAATCATAGAAACCACTTTGAAAGAAAGAATTGAAGGGGGCAAGATTCAAGAAATCAAGAAGAAAGCAAAGGTAACTTGGCGAAGAAGATTGATTCAACTATCTAAAAAATAGTTCTATCTTTCTTCTCTTCATGTTCTTCTTTATGAATTGTATAGATTTCATGTCTCATAGAATGAACTAAATAATTCTTCTAGGGTTTGATTAGCAAAAACTTGAGGATATGATTTTATTTTATTTTAGTTATACATGTCTCATAGAATGAACTAAATAATTC